AGGGATATGACATCATGTGGTTGTTCAGTGGTCAGTACAAACCTTGGATTTCTGCCAATAGGCTGTAAGTGTGTTTTCATGTGTTAGGGAAAAGTAAAAAAAAAAACTAAAACTAAACCAATATGGTGCAGCCACACCCTCAGCTAGGGGGCGGTGCTGGGGGTGTGGTTATCATGAACCAGGAAATGCAGTCAAAGAGAGTCTGGTCTTGAGCACACCTGCAGCTAATCAAGTCAAAATCAACAGTTTGGCTTCAGAGAAACAGTGGAGGCCACTTCCTGGAGAGTAGTTTTCAAACAATGTTTGTTTTTTAATAGGTTTCTCCTCCATTTTCCTGAGGAAAAGATCCTGAGGTTGGAGCAGTTAAGGTTTTCCACCTTCATGTTGTGGAAGGATCCTAAATATAACGTGGAGAGATTTGCATTGAGGAGAAGAAAGACTCAATGAGACCAAGAGGAAAAATCCCTTTTGGAAATGTTCACAGGCTTTCAGAAAGAAAAAGCCTCCAAACTGTCACATTTTATCAGGCTGTGCAAAAGAAACTCTGTGAAATAGATTCCATCAGGAGGGATGTGAATCACACGGTGAATCACACGGACCTGGAACGTTGTTACCCAGCAGGATGTTGAAGAGGCTGCAGCTGATTCGAGATGACGGCAACAACTGGCTGGCAAATCCACCCAAAGGCACGAAAAGACCCGACATTATGTAAGTACAGCCGAGTGTCGTCCGCATAGTAAGAAAATGGCCGCAGTCTCTCTGTGTATTTGTATATATGTGTGCTGTGAACCCGACCGCTGTGACCGGGCAGTGAGAGATTGTCAGATGTTCTGTGGAAAATTATTATTGTGTCTCAAATGGTCTGAAAACTATGATTTATCTGTTGGAAATAAGTCATTTCAGCTCTGTGCTCATTTGCTCCAACGTACCTGCACAAGTCTGGCATTAACGATGTGATTGTTATAAAAAAAAAAGAGAGCGATTTAGAGGTTGTTGGATAAAATCTTCGTTCATGTCTTTCTTCAATGCCTGCTNGTTGGCAACATTCTAAATAAATCAAACTCTTCAGGTCTTTGCAAATTCAACCTGTTTTATTAAGGCTTTCCACAGCAGTATTTGGAAGAGATTCCTTCCTGATACAACCCAACCTGGGATTTGTGGACTAATGTGTAGTCGTTTGATGAGTGAGAAGTTAAATCTAAAGGTTAGTTTTTGAAAAACCCGACCTCAGTTTTCACTTTCCTCAGAACCTCAGACCTTCGTCATGTCATACATGGAGGACAGCGGTGTCTCTCTGGGCTCAGACCCTCAGATTTACATGGTGACAACAGCATTTCATCTTCATCCAAACCTCAGCACTGGTGGTTTGGACGTGTTTATTTTTGTGACTGGAGTCAAGTCGCTCCGTGCACATGTGGCTGTTTGGAGCATGGCTGCCAACCTAGAACTGTCACGGAGCGCTGTGATGTGTGGCATGAAGACAGCAGCTCTAACCAGGACGTTAGTCCCCTGGTTTTTTTGGTGAAGACATCATTTTTGACTCTTTGATCACGTTGACGTGTCAGAGTGCTGATGAAGACGAGTACAGGGGATTTTGTGAGGTCGTCATCAAATCTGTGGCATTTTTTTTTAATGCTGTATTTAGACGTTAGCGCACGGACGGCTCTGTTTGAAGGGTTAGCTGTTTGTGTTTGTCAAGTCAACAAACCCAAACCCTCACAGAAGAAGGGTTGAATGTTCATCATTTCAAATCCCAAAACTAGGAATAGCTAAAAAAACTAAAAATAGCTAAAGGTATGACAACAAAATGTAACATTTACTGAATATAATTTCAAGAAATTTTACTAAAAATGTGTAAAAACTAGACCAGAAATAAATGTAAGAAAAAAAATAAAAGCAAAAATAATATATTAAAATTGATGGAATTGCTTCTCCAGAAAAAGTGAAAGACAGAAATCAATTTTCTCATGTTCCTTTTGTAGTTGCCAGAGAATATTTAGTTAATTTGTACTTGTTTGGACAACTCTGACAAATCTACACCTCATTACCCAGATCTTTTTTTTTTGTTCTTTCTTCAATTCATGTCAAACAAAAACATAGTTTTAAATCTGTCCTCGTTAATAATATTGAACCTCACGATCAGAAAATCCTGCTGTCACATCACGTCACATCACATGACCAACAGGCTGTAATTCATAAACCATTAAACCTAAACTTCAATTAATTTTTTTGGACACATTTAGTGTTGGTGTCTCGGCTGCTGTTGGAGCAGAACTGGCTGTAAAATTAAATGGAAGAGCAGTTTGAGTTGGAGGCAGTGGTTCGTGAGGACGAGCAGCAAAGTAGTTTAGAATAAACACAGGAAATGAAACAGGTTTGCGACGACAAACGGATATGGACCACAGCTCCATAAATGCATCGTAATCTTCAGCTCATCTAACACATTGTTAACCCAAAGACTGGGTTGTGACCCTCAGGTGGGTCGCAAGAGATTTTTGGGGTCGTTTGGCAACATGTTTCCCAGGAGTTTACGAATAATGTCTACTAACTTGGGTCAAAGTTTGGGAAACACCGATCTAACCCAGATGGAACATTTGTGGGTCAGACTTTTATGTTACTGAGAAGAAAGTTGTACTTCACATTCAGGGAGATGGATATTTGGCTCCGAAGTAAAAAAAGACTCCAGACTCTCGCAGCCTAAACGTGATCTTGTTGTTTCGGGGATGAGGACGATTCCGTTTACACTTCACTGCTCCGCGACTAACTTCACTCACCCACAGGCTGCTGGGAGTGCAGGGTAATTTGGAGGAGCAACTGTTCTTTTTTTTTTTTTTTTTTTTTTTTTTGTGCTCCCCCTGCAGCCTCTCGCTCTCTTTCTCTTTTTATTCACATTTCTTTATATATATCTTTAAGTAGAGCAGAGAGAAAACAGGAGGAAGAATCAAGAGAAGTATGATGGAGGAGAGGATCAAAAGGAGGAAGAGGCAAAACAGCGAGGGGGGAGTAAATAGAGGGAGTTAAAGAAACAGTCAAGGCGACATGAGAAAAGGGGGAAAGGAGACGTAGAAACAAAAGGAACGAAAAGTTGAAGGGGAAGTTGATCTCCTTTGAGAATCATGAAAGTTAGGAAGTGGTGAGAAGATGACACGAAGAAAGAGGAGAAGAAAAATAAAAAAATAAGGAGGAGCAAGGCTGAAACAGGGAGCAGGATGAAGAGGAGGAGAGCGGAGATGAAAGAAGAGGAAGGAGGAAATGAGGAGGAGAAGCTGAAGAAAAACCTGAAAATGAGGTTTGAGACTTTTCCATTTCTCAGCCTCAAACCCTGTTGGTTCTGTGTGATGTGACCTGAAACGAGTTGCTCCCTAATGTTGCTCATTAGGGAGCAACTCAAGAAAACTTTCCAGCAGCAGCAGCGGCAGCAGCAGCAGCTTTCCACTGATTGGTTCTTAGAGTTCAGACAGAACGCAGACTGAGGTGGGCAGCAGGCGGGTCAGGATGAGACCAGGAGCCGGGACTTAAATTGATGCCGTCCAATCTCTGACAGTTTCCCTTTGTTTTGGTTGTAATGCAATTCAAAGCAGTCATAGAAGAAGGAAAAAAGATGATGATATGTGAATGGAAAAAAAAAAAACAGAAGTTGCAAAAGTTCTTAAAAAAGATTTGCAAAAAGACCAAACTTTCCTCAAAGCAAGAGTTTTCTACAGGTCTGGTTCCCTGACGTAGTAGTATCAGTCCAAGGTGTGAATGAGAGGGTGAATGGTTGGTTGTTTTTACATATGATGATCTACACTCTGTCTACTTCATAACCTGGGAACTGCTAGCCCACAGCATTTTTAGCTCCAAACTGCTGACAGCACCTCCCCTCCGTCACCTCCCACCCACCGTGTTCCTCCACTGATGAGGTGTCACAGATCGTTTGCAGTGTAAACAAACTGTGACTCCCACTGTGAAGAATCAAGTCAGAGCAGCAGGTTTTTAAACTTCCATCTGGAGAGAAGTACGGGAGCTAACAGTAGCTAACTGTACGCAGCATGAAAAT